TACTCCTGTATCAGAAACCATACATTACACATGATTCACTCAGACTGCTTAACATAACTTTTACAACAAAGAAATCAGAGGAATGTTGTAATTAAGGAAAAATACCCTTGACCTGTTTAATAAGCAATTATGGCATATAATTCATTTTTTAAAAACGCTTGCCTTAAAACTCACAGCTAAAAATCTACTTTTTAAACATTTGGAAAAGCTTCAGTGTTTGAGAGTCAATGTGGTATAAGCAGTGCACCTCATTTCCTCCAGTTTTGTGACATCCTGCTGTAGACTGCGGATCTTTGCTTTCTTCTCATTCAGAACCAGGACAAACCGAGAGTAAAGCTCTGCCTCCAGGGCTTCCTTACCACCAACGTAACGCTTCAGTCTTGAATGTACAGAAACAAAAAAGTTCTTTAGCAAACCCAAATATACTAATTAGTCTGTGTAATCTGGCTTCATGGAAAGATCAAGTTGGTGAAAATGTATGCCATGCCTTCTGATGATACTGCCTAAGGGAAGCATGTATATTTTAAATAGAATTGGTCCTAGCATGGAACCCTGTGGAACTCTATTGTTATCCTTAGTGTGTGAAGAGGACTTTTAATTCCTAAGGAGATCATTTGTAACCTGTACTAGAGCTGTTTCTATCCTGTAATGAATTTTGAAACCTGACTCAGCCTCTTCAAATATAATAATGTTTATGGTGACTCAGGATTTAGAACAGTCTACTAGTGTAAAAGGCTGAGAGTAAAAAACAAAACAAAACATAAATTACAGTCCATTTAACATGGACTAAACTAGATGATCATATTAAAAATGCTGACACTTTATGACATTATATAGAGCCAAGGATAGAAAACAAAACATCTGAAACAGAGTGTGCAGTGACAGGAAGACAAAGCAACAGTTTTGGTGTGGACCAAAATTAGGGATGGGTATCGTTTAGGTTTTATCCGATACCGGTGCCAAATCGGTACTTTTGAAACGGTGCCGGTGCTTAAACGGTGCTCAAACCGGTGCTTAAAG